TTTAGTTTGTAGAAGGAAGCAGGATTGTTTGAAAGTGATGTTTAATTCATAGGAAAGGTGATTAATCAGAGAAAGATTTGACGCAATAGTATATTGCCAACACTCACAAGAAGAGAGAGAAAGGGAAGACTAAGGGGCAGTGCAGAGAGAGCAAAAAGAGAAAGGATGTAGTTTTACCAGAAAAGCTGTACAGAGACAGGTGGTAGAGAGAGAACGAGCTGGACACAGGTGAAGACAGAAAGAGCCAGAGAATGAGAAGGTGCCAGTAGATTGGAACACATTCCCAACGTTGGTATCAGGCCAAGCAGAGAAATTCAGAAGAGGCAGAGGAAGAAGCCAGGTTGAATCAGTCAGCTTGGAAAGGAGTTTGAGCCCCAAAACCTGAGTAAAACCAGCTAACCAGAGCCCAGAAAGAACAAGAAAGGGTGAGCTTCTTCAGCAGTAAGTCTCAGAGGCTGACAACTTTCTAGACATAGACAAGACTGTATGGAGGCAAAAGCCTTGGAGCTAATTATGCAGGCAAATAAAAAAATACTTTTACATGAAGTATAAGAAAGGAAGGAACCATGTATAGCAAAATTTTAGCAGAGCCATTGTGTGTGGAATGAATTCTGGAGTGATAGGACCAGGTAGCCTTTGTAGACTTTGAAATAACCCTTTGTAAATAGTGATTGTTACCTGAAATTTATGGAATTGCTCTTTCTGAATAATTGACTGAGACTTTGCATAACTTAGTCTCAAGAGATACCTGACAAACCAGGAAGTCTTGTATGTCTGGGAATAGCTTAGGAAATGGATCCTTCAGTCAACTCCTAGATGAGCTAAGAGGTTTTGGTATTTGGAAATTGGTTTACTAAAGGCACCTTTGTGTAACAATGAAGAGGCAAAGTGGGGAGTTCAGTCTTTCAGACACAGATCCATCCTGCTGCTAGAAGCCTAAAATCATCCTGCATTGTCTCTTTCTCCGAGATTAATCAGTCGTCCCAGAAACCCAGAACACCAACAGCCCTGGGAGTTGACTCCTTAGGATATAGTTGAGGTAGTACACTTGCCTATATTTACACTAATTGGTCTGGTTCCATCTCTGCCCACAATACCAGGCTAGAACAATAACTTAACTGCAAACACTCCTATTCACAGTACAGTGGAGGAAGGACACTTAGTCCCTGCTGCCAAGTAGCTCCTAGTTCAGGGTGCCCAAGGGAGTGAGCCAGCTGATGCAGATCAGCAGGAACAGTGAAAAAAATGGATAAAAGAACCCAGTATATCTAGGAAATTCTGGGAGTTTAGTGATTTGAGACTGTAACAATAAAAGTGGCAGGAAATTAAACTGAAGAAAAATGATGCACCTTACTGCAAAAATCTTGTTGCTAGGCTCTGCAACAGAGAACTAGGAACTAGGAAGAAGTAGCCAGTCTTGAAGAAGGCAGATTGGTCCTATATGAATTGTAATTTGCAAATGATTAATTCATAGTGGGAGCAGACAGCAAAAGAGTTTTTGGTGTCTTCCAACCCCTTTATTTCTTAGACTGGATCGTAATGAAAGAAATTTCATGAGGAAAATGGATGAGGCCTGGTGAATCCTGGGAACAGTAAGTGAAGCTTGAAAGGGAGTCCTAGCTAGAGCCATATGGTGTCATGGACTTTACGTCAAAGAGGTCACTACAGTTTGTTTTGACCTTTGAGACAGTCTCATCCATGCTGTTGTTGCCTGTCTCTACTTCCCAAGTGAATTACAGTTATACTGGGTATCAAAGGTATTCATGCAAGCACTCTACCAACCGAGCTATGTGCCAGCCCTGTTTAGAGATTGTGTACATCTCTGTGTGTGACACACACACACACACACACACACACACACACACACACCCCACAGGTTCAGAAGGCTATCCATAAGGTATTCATTTCCTAAAGACTTTTGATGTAGAAACTTAAGGGTTCTATGGAAAGTGTGGGACTGTGTTTTGCTGGAGCAAACATGTGAATGAGTGTTTCCTGAAGCAGATACAAGTGACTGGATGGGGTTTGCTCAAGAAATGCCCCCCAAAAACTTCTGGTGGTGTGCTCTCTACTTCTTGCCGCTTCCACAGACTGACTAGCAGAATGATGTCAGCTGAGACAACTCACATGGAATTTTGTTAAGTCAGACTCACTTGCTGAGGCAAGACTCAGAGAGGACACATGATGTTTGGAGGGAGTATAAATAGGACCAAACAGACAGTGATGGAGGCTAAGCTTGACTTGCTTACATAGCTAAATGCTTGTTGGCCTCAGGTCTTTGCTGATCTATGTTTCACTGAGGCACAGCCAAGAACTTTTCCTGCGATTCCTGTTGATCATGGTCCCATCTGCTGACTCATACTGAGGCCTGGCTGTCTCTGCTAGGTTGGGACACGTCTCCTGATTCATGTGCTATCCCGACTCTACCAAACTGGACTGCTGTTATATCTATAACATGTTTGCAAGTAGATCAAGTTGCTGCTGCTGACCTGTAAACTGAACTACTGGTTTCCAGACAACACAGATGGGAGTTGCTCCAAAAAACCATTTTTAAACACGTTCACTTCCCCCATATCCTTTCTTTTCCACTACCCTTGGTGGGTAGTGGGCTAAAAGGGAGTTTGAAGTGTTTAAGAATCACCAATAAAACTAGGATTTGAAAAAAATTAAGGTTACAAACTTTCACTAACCCCAGCAGAAATGAATCAGATAAATGGAAGGTTCACTACTTTCATCAGAATTTTTGGAAGACATGTCACCCCCAGCAAGCTTAGGCAGACAATGTGGACGCCTTTGCACCTTTATTCATTAGCAAGAGTGACATTCCTGGTCCCACCTGCTTACCAGGGCCTTGCTCAACGTATTTCATATCAGTGACTGTTTCCTTCTTTCTTAATGGCGTAAACCTTAGTGCTTTTGGTTGTTTTAGATAATAAAGTGCTTAGGAAACTGCCTAACACAGTTAGTGCAAATGCTGTTTAATTGTCAATATATCTGAAAACTGATGTCTAATTTTACCAGCATGCCATCCAGAACCCACAGCTCCTAGGAGAACCACTAGGCTCTCAAAGCAAATGTCTTAGAAAATAACCAATTGGATTTACTCTAAGACATGAGTTTCCCAATAATGTCATGGAGAGCTTTTATTAATTATGAAGGATTTAGTACTTAGGGTACTTGTTCCCTCCTAGCTCTTATAACTTAAACTAACCCACTTATATTAATCTATGCTCTACCATGTGGCTGGTTACCTCTCCTCAGTTTTATATGTCCGTCTTCCTCCTTGTCTGAATGGAGAACATTCCCCCTCCTGATCCTTACCAACGAATCTTACTCCTCAGACTCTCCCAGAGTCCCTAACCCTGCCTGGAAGTTCCACCTATCATATCCTCCTTTGCTATAGGCTGTTCAACTCCTTATTAAACCAATCAGAAGGTGTTGTAGGGTGTTTACAAAAACAGATGGTGCTTAACAATACCAAAGCTTGGTCTGTACTCTGATCTCTGCTGGTCCAGAAATCACCATTGGAACACTACAAAGGCAATCTAACACAGTGCACAAAACAATCATCCCAACCTTACAAGCGGTATATAATGAAGGGAGGGTATACCACACACTGCCTGTTGCACAAACCTCCGGGTCTACTGTCTTTTCTCCCCCTCAACCACACCATGGTCTGGGGCTTTAGTTTATCTTGCCGATGTTTCAGGTGAGATTTGATTGTTAGGAATCAAACAGCAGAAGCTTTCACTGTCCTACAGCCATCCCTAACTCACCCTGAATCTGTCCTGCCCACAGCAGACCAGAGTCTGTACAGATAGCTTCATCTGTCCACTTGGAACTTCCATTGCTTTCCTCTCACAGGAAATGAATCCACATTCCTACCATGGTGGTCAGAACCTCAGAGTCACACACACTGTCACCTTCAGCCCTCTTTTTTCCCTGTCCCTGGCAAACATGCTGGTCTTGCTAAACATCAAATCCCCTAAGCCAACTTCTTTGTTGGGCAGCTCTTCCTGGGACAATCAAATCTCCCAAGCACCCCTCCCCCTTCTCACTCTGTAATCCCCTAACATAGCTCTGCTGACCTGTCATTCGCTTCCTGATGAATATTTTCTGTTTGATGGACCACCTTTCCTAGTCACACCAACCCTGCAGTGCAGGGTTCACTCGATTTCTCCATTCTCTGCACAGTGCATGGACCTATGACCACACTAAGTGAGAGAATGATATCTTTAAAGCCCAGGATAGAGTCACTGACATTGCATCCTAAAGGGTGGTCAGCAATCCCAGAAGTGTCGATCTCAGATCATATTTTTAAAATTGAATTTGGTTTACATTTTTACCAACAAGGAAGTTCCTGCATGAATACTTACTTATTACATGGTCAAAGGCAACTAGAATCTTCAAGGAGACATTTTGGTACATTGCTTCATACTCACAGGGCCATGCAAAATACAGTCATCTGAAGTAAATACAAACTTTCTATATAGCATCCCAGAAAGACTTGTTTACTTTGTAGAGACTTCCAGGGTCATTGTCCTCTTCCCCTGCAACCCTGCTACCTCAACCCTCACTGCACTCAGGGACTATCACGCCTACCCTGTGTCCAGCTTCAACAGAGGCTGTAGAACCTGATTGTCTTTCCAGCTGTTTCTCTACTGCTAGACGCTATTACAAAGTTCCTGGACGTTCCCTGGCTTTGCTGGCAGATCCTAGGGTCTAGTTCCCTTGATAACAACATCCAGGACCTCATTTCACAGTGGGTCTCCACAGGACTCCACTTGTCTGCCCAGCGATTGGATAGCGCCCCACAGAGGCTTCTGGGAATTGTAGTTTCGCCCACAAAGCGACTCGGAGCAGGCGCACTTTGTCAGTTTTGCTCTTGGGCTCCCTCTGAGAAAAGGAGTCCAAAAACCCAAGTGCTTCAACAGGGAGATTTGTGGGAATTAGGCTTCCTGGCTCCTGTACGAATGCGCAGGCGCGGCTCCGCGTCGAGCAGCTGGCTCCAGCTCATTGTGTCCTGACTGCTCTGTTGAGGGTATCCTTTGTCGCCGCAGTGGACAAGCTTCTAAGAAAGCCCCAAGGTGACCTGCAGTGTCCAGAAACCGAAGGTCAGGTGTGGAAATGAGAACGGAAGGGACCCAGACTAAGGGTGGGTTGTGGTCCGTTTTAGATGGCGTGGATCCAGTGTCCTTAACTTTGCAGCGCATGTACTGAGATTGGATTCCACACAGAGAGGACCAGCAGAACTCTCTTGTGGTGGAGCTAAGGGATCCGAAACTGATTGCATGTGAAGGGCGGGTCAAGACGTCTAGCTTATCTTGTAGCAAACTCAGAAATACAGTTCCGTCCAGCTGCTGAGTATATTCTCAGTGTGGCTCCAAGTTCTCTCTGAGAAACTTGCGTACAGGACACCTTCAGTGCAGCTCCTGCACTTGACAAAACTGTGGAGGGTGACTTTTGTGAATGATTCATTCTCCCCGAACCTGACCCCCTACACTCTCCCAAACCCGAAACACCCTTCTACACACACACACACACACACACACACACACACACACACACACAAAGAGAGAGAGAGAGACAGAGAGAGACAGAGACGGAGGGAGGGAGGGAGGGAAGGAGGGAGACAGAGAGAGAGGGAGAGGGAGAGGGAGAGGGAGAGAGAGAGAGAGAGAGAGAGAGAGAGAGAGAGAAAGGGAGGGAGGGAGAAAGGGATGGAGAGGGAGGGAGAGGGAAACAGAGAAAGAGACAGAGACACAGAGAAAGACAGAGGGAGACAGAGGGAGGGAGGAACAGAGAAAGGAAGGGAGGGAGGGAGGGAGGGAGGGAGGGAGGGAGGGAGGGAGAGAGAGAGAGAGAGAGAGAGAGAGAGAGAGAGAGCGCAAATACACTGCCTTTTACTCCTGGTCACTTAAACCAGAGAAGAATCCTTAAGCCACACAATACATGGACTGCAAGGCTTCCAAGGTGAAGATCTGCCCTGCTTAACTCCCTTCCCTTTCAGGAGAAAGTTCAATCTTTCCCTCTTCCTTCCCTCTAGTTGGGATCAAACTGTCCCAGGAGGAAAGAGTGGCTTAAGACTCCAAAGCACAGCTGTAGGGGAAAGGACAGAGAATGGGTAGTGTTTTAGAACTGGGCTGGGCAAACTTTCTGCAGGAGAAAGCCAAAGCCACACAAAACAGAAAGGCATGCAGGATCTGACGAAAGGAAAGATGCAAATGGCATGGGGAGCAGTCACCTTACAGATCGGGCAAGGACAACTACCTTCAGAGGGGCACAGCACCGGGAGCAAACTGAACAAAGAACTCACAGCTTTGGGAGAACTGAGGATGCCAGGATAGGGATGTTGAGGAGCATCCCTGTGACCTTTGACCCGGCCCTCTCATCACAGGTGTGCAGATGGTTCTTGTCTGAGGAATCCTGCAGTTGTAAAGCTCCTCTCCTGCCTCCTCCCTACTCAGTGTTCCTCAGCTCACCAGAGAAAAGGAATGGCTGTCAGCCACCTCCCAGCCCTGGTCCAGGTGAGTGGGGGAGGAGCCTTGTGAGTCATCACCATCCAGTGTCATCCCCGTGTCCCCCAGTTGTGTTCTTGACTTGAAGAGTACGTGTTGTTTGCTCCAACCAGAAGCTCTCCTTATCCAGTCTCCCTAAACGCCTGACCCCAGTTGCTCCCTCCCTCCCATCACAGGTCTCCTCCTAGAGAGCTTCGAGCTCTCTGTAAGGCAGGTAAATGGCACAGCTGGGCACGATTCTAGGTTAGTATGAAATGAAAACCTTTCCACTTCTCTTAGCCAGTAAGATGTTAGTCCTAAATGGGAAAGGCAGGAACTGAGCTGGGAGCTAAAAGAAGGAATTTGAACTGCTCCCTGTGAACATGGGGTTTCCTAGACTCCACTTGTTCATTGATGTCTTTTAAAGACAGCATGTAACTTTTGTTTAAGAAGAATATATGATATTAGTAAAAAAAATAATTGGAAGAACTTTACTTCTATAGGTTAGGGGGATAGCTTTGTGGTAGAATACTTGGTTGGCATGTATAGGGCCCTAAGTTCAGTCTCCAGCACCACACACACACAGGTGCACATACACACGCATACACACACACACTCACAAAGCTGGGTATGGTGGCCTACACCTGTAATCATAATACTTGGCAGACTGCAGCAAGATTAAAAGTTGAAGGCCAGCCTGGGATACATGGAGAGCCTGTCTCCAAAGAGCTCAGATTTAAACAGTATTCTAAGTAGAGCCAGTCTCTTTAGGTAAAACCTGTTCCAATTCCTTTGCTTTTATGTCTTTAACTCTCTGGGACATGAATGTATGGGAGGTAAGAAGCTGGGAGAGCCACCAACCAGTTCCAGCTTGCTGGCTGATCATTCTCTTCTTGAGTTTTATAATCAAAGAGCTTTATTTAGAGGCTGAAATTTCAAGATTGGGCCACCCGGGGTTGCCTATAGCCCAGCGCTATAGGCTGCATCATATGTAGCCAATGACACCACATAACAGAACAGAGAACGGTGCAGGGAGTTTTGCATGGTGAGAGCAAACAAGAGAGAGAGCCAAAGTGTTAAATTTACTTTATAACAGTGTGCTGCTCCTAATAGCCACTGCAATCCAGAGAGACTTGCCCCATTCCTCCCAATCCTACAGGATGTGCATTGAACCCTTCAGAGGCTGGAACTCGAGGAGCCTACTCATGCCCCATATAAGCCCCACCTCTTAAAGGTGTCCCACTTCCCAACTCATTCACACTGGGCAACAGGCACATGGACCTTGGAGGGATGAGCCATATCTGAGGCATGGCAGTTAAGCACTATTTGTGTTGTTCACAGGCTGCTGTGGTTAAAAAAAGGACGTTAAGTGTATCAGTATGGTTTGCTGTCATTATCAAGTGTTAGTTGCTTCCGCCATCAGGCAGAAGAGCTTAGGGATATACAATGTATCAGGTTTTATTAGCTGTGTCAGAAACCAGAGATGAGCAATGGTTCTTAGTAAATCTACTCACTGCTTCACTTCAGCCAGTGTCTCTTGGCTCCTTGCTCTGCACCAAAGCTTTGCATACAGGTAACAAACTTCACTGAGCTATCTTAAGCTAAAGCAGGCATTTATCAGAAACATAGTGAATTGCCTTCCCACATCCAAAGGCAGAAACACAACTAGACTTTGGCTATGGAAATGGAGTCTAGAATATGCTTAGAGTCCCTCCTCTTAGACCCTTTGCTTTCTTTTCTGGACTTCCACTTGGCCCTTCTTCAGTGCACACAAGCCCCCTGGCTTCTTAGCTCAGAAGACCACACTGTGCAAGGGGCCGTTTTCCTCGCTAGATTCCAGGTTCCTGAGAGAGACTCCCGCCCTTTTTGAGAATTTCCAAAGAAGGGATGGGTTATAATCAGAGAAGACATGGATGATGTCACAGTACAGAAGGATTATTTCCGTAGTGTGTGTGTGTGTGTGTGTACTCACACATGTGTTTGGGTGAGCAGATGAGGAGTGAGGCTTACTGAAAAGAGTGGACATTGAAGGACTTGGTGCATTCTGAGAAGTGCATCCTGTAGCTGTTTGGTCTTCCTGTGAACACACAGCGGATATTTGTGAACACCTAGATGGTCTTCATCAGCCTGGTCCCCTAGTGTAATCCAGGGATTCAGAAAACACAAAGCACGTGAGGTTGCTGCTGGTGAGATGCAACATAGTGTTTCACAGGAAAGATTTCTTGAGTGTTTTGGGATGTATGCTAAAATAATGATTTAAAAAGAGGACATTAAGTGTATCAGTGTGGTTTGCTGTCATTATCCAGTGTTAGCCACTGTACAGTACTGCCTGTGCGCTGTATCCTTTTACACTGTTGCCAGTGTCCTTTGTTTATCTACACCGCCATCACCACAAACACAGAAGTATGCACTGTAGTGAGAGGTTGCACCAGCTACATCAGGGCTGTGGAGAGTGGGAGACGTGGGCACAGTGAACAAGTGCACAGTCTCACTACTTCTCTCCAGTTGGTACCAAAGTTGGAGACAAAGTTTGTCTGCAGCACAAAGCTTGGCCACTAGGAGATACTGAGGAAATGCCTAGCTTTTCCCTGAACAGTAGCTTCCTGCAGACGGATGATCCAGGAGAGGTGTGGAGACAGCCAGTATAAATTTTCCTGTGGTATGCCCTGGTTGGTAAGGAAGGGTTCTGTGTTACAGGACTTGGTGACCTTTGAGGATGTGGCTGTGCTCTTCACCCAGGATGAATGGGGTCGGCTGAGCTCTGCCCAGAAGGCCTTGTATCGGGATGTGATGCTGGAGAACTACAGTCACCTAGTCTCACTGGGTAAGCTGGACAGCACGGCCTCAGCTTCAGCTTTAGGGGACTTCTTGGGGTCCCTGATCAACAGAGTGGGTGGGAATTGGGCTGGCTCATGATTCTGTCTTCACTCCTAGTATATGTCTATCCCCTTGGGGTCCCCAGAGCTCTGTTGAAGTCTGGAGATGTATCACAAGTTAGAGGGGTGTGGGAACAGACTCTCTGTGTCAGGTCCCAGGCCATTTTGTCTCTTGCAAACATGGTCACCTTCCTCTCTAATCACAATTTCTAGAATATTCTGGGGACCTGGTCTTATCTTTACAATGACTCTTATCTCTATTATGCACAGATGAGGTCATGGTTTTCTCCTTCCTTCACAAGCAGGTCTCTTAGGATCCCGACCAGATATGTTCTTTCCCCCGGAGGAAGTAGAAGAATGTTTGTCAGAAGAGGCTCCCGAGGGCTTTGGTCTGGGTAAGAGTCATGTATGTGGGAGAGTGGGAGAGGGTCACAGGTGGTGGGGGCTGTCACATGAGGTCTCAGCAATGTGACATGCCTGGGCCACGTTGTCCCAGCATGCATATCCAAACTGACATTCTGTATGGAAGTCTGTACATGTCTGAGGGCTTCCTTCTCTCCTTGTTTCACATAAATTAGTAGTCTGTGGCCGGAGAGGTGGCTCAGCTGTTAAGAGCACTTGCCCTCTTCCAGAGGACCCAGCTTCCGTGCCTGGGCCCCACATTGTGCAGCTCACAATTGTCTGTGACTCCATCTCCAGGGGATCCAGCATCCTCATCTGGCTTCCACAGGTGCACTGCACACATGTTCATATCCATCAATAAAATTGAATTTTTACAAATTAGCAGTCTAAGTCCTGGATAGATGGATGGCTTTGCTATTAAGAGCACTGACTGCTCTCCCAGAGGTCCTGAGTTCATTTCCCAGCAACAACATGATGGCTCATAACCATCTGTAATGGGATCTGATGCCCTCTTCTGGTGTGTTTGAAGAGGATGACAGTGTACTCCCATACATAAAATAAATAAATAAATCTTAAAAATTATCTAAACCCCCTTCCCCCAAATATGGCCTATTCTAAATCCAACATGCAGGAGCTGCCTGTACTTCTCCATTGAGGAGCCTCCCTGGTGCTCTGGAGACAGTTCCATGCTTGCTGACACAACTTTTTTTCTAGTGAAGCCAACACACATATCCTCCTGGCTCTTGTTCTTTGACCACATGGGGATATATTCACCCAGAATTTAACTGTCCGCCTGCGCCAGGCTCGGTGCTTGCTCCAGGTGCCAGAAGGGCCAGGGTTGTCATACTCTTTGCTATACTGCTCACACTTAGAGCAGAGTGTACCTGCTAGTGAGACTTGCTGTCTGGAATGTGGAGAACATGACAGTTCACGTGTCCTGTGGAGTCCCCTGGGGCTTCTGACTCAGAGACAGGAATATGTCTTCCTGCTACTTTGAAGTATTCTAGAAAACTCCCTTTCCTTACCTAAGATCCTGTAACAATGCACTTTGCTGTAGTGTGTTACAGGCTATAAAATATCTTTTTTTTTCTTGAGATAGAGTGTTTCTACATAGCCCTGGCTGTCCTGGAACTCCCTATTGTAGACAAGGCTAACTTGGAACTCACAGAGGATCCCCTGCCTCTGCCTCCCACATGCCGTGATTAAAGGCATGGGCCATCATATTTGTCCCGTAAAGTATCTGTTAAGACCTCTTACTATTTTTTTCACTATAATCTAGTGAAATAGGCAAAGGTTTCTATATCATAGTTAATATCTACCTACCTCAAATGTCTAAGACTCAATGTTTGATGGAATTTAAGTATCATAACTCAAAATTGCAGTTATTTACAAAAGTATTTAACTGACCACGGATGTAGCTCAGTGGTAGAGCTTGCATGGTGTCCTAGGTTCAATCCCCAATACAGGGAAATAAAGAAAATCTTTAGCTCACCCCTATAGAATATTCTGTAGATTTGATCTTCTTTGACAACCAAAATGCCTCAACTCAATGAGCTATCTTACCAGCCCCAATCTCCAACGTTACAAGTACTGACAAACCAACACACCTGACTTGAGATGACAGGTCACAATTAAAAGTCAGACACTGAAACTCTCCTATATAATTACCTTCAGTTGTATGTATAATATATATATAAACATAGGGGGTTTCATATTTAATATTGAGTCCCGTCCCAAAGACATGTCATTATG